CTCGCGGCCAGGGCCTTTTGCTCTTCCTCCGGTAGGGACTTTGGCTCCTGCTCGTCCTCCTCGGCCGGCGCACCCGTTGTCTCATCGTCCTCGTCGTCCTTGGTTGGGGGCAGGGGCTTCTCCTCTTCCTCCGCGTGTGCCTGGCCCGCCTCTGGCCGCGCGCCGTTGCCCGGCGCCGTGCTATCCCGGGGGAGCGGCTGCTGCGCCGGTGTTCCCGGAGCTGAGGGTGAGTCGTCCACTGGGGGGCCGGGCCTCATTGCATCCAGGTAGAACTTGGTCACTCCCAGGATCCGGCCGTTCTTCTCGCAGGCCTCGACCCATTCCGGTCGGACAACAGGAATGTTCGTCTCGACGGCCTTTTCCCAGGCCTGGCCGCGGCCCTCCGTCGTTACGAAGTGAGTCGTGTCGATCCGTACGCCCTCCACGATCTTGGCCCCGATCCTGTTCACAGCCTGTCCGAGCCTCTCTCTGGTGGCTGGTGGCAGGATGCCAGTTGTGATTGTGACGCCGCTCAGGTCTGTCATCTTGTGTGTTCGCACCGTTACTCTCTCGCTGCCGAACGTCCCCGCGGTCGTCCTCAGGACCAGGTGGAAGGTGTACTCGGTGTCGACCGCCAAACCGCTAATCTTGGTGCTGTGCATTTCCAGCGGGCGCGGGATGTTTCCAGCCTTCTGGCCATTGCGATAGAGACTCAGGGAGATCAGGTCGGCCGTGGCTAGCTGGATGGGGTCCCACTCGAGGACGACAGAGGTCTGTGTGGCATTGCGGCAGCTGAGGACGGGCGTGGCGGGCTCTTGGGCGCCGAAGGAATCGTAGATCTGGTCCTGGAGCGCGCGGAAGCTTTGCTGGGCGGTTGCCTCCTTGGCAAGATTCTGGGAGACATTGATGTCGACAATACTGCCGGATGAGATGTCAGGGGGGAGGAGAATGGATGGGAACTCGATCTTTAGGGAGTATCAGCATTTCATTCTGGCGAGCATTGGAAAGGGGGGAATGTGAACAATGCTGGAGGACGTACTAGGCGCTTGTCCGGCGTCAACAGAACAGTGACGCCAGCGTCGACCTTGCCGACGGTAAGAGATACAAGCATTGTCGCGGATGCGCAGAGTCTGGAAGCAATGCCCGGTACAGTTGTCGACAGAGAAGCTCGCTAGATGTGTGCGCAAAGGCTGGGGCAGAGAACGATGATTTCCAGATGGAACACGCTGCGTGGCCTATTATTAGACTAGGCGTTGGCGATTACTGCCTGTTTCCGCTCCTCTGCCGCAGTAGTAGCTTATCAGCCACAGCCTTAGGGGGAGCTGTTGTGCTGTTGCGGCTCAGCTACCAGGGCAGTCACGTGCCCAAGCTCGAAGGCATGCGACACATCGTGCACGTTAACACTGGCAATAATGAATTATCATGGTCATTGTAGGCGCAAATGTTCCGTCAAAGTTGGTGCTCTATCGCAAACCACCTAGTCCCTCCTGCCGCAATAACTTGGGGCTCAACGCATCTCATTGGACTTCTTTGTGTAGGTGCTGCGTTATCCAATTTATGCGTTCAGTTGCACAACCTTAGTGCTCTCCCCACTAGGCGAAATCTTGGCAAGGCCGGTATTTAGAGCCATGGCCCTTAGCTGTGGCATTTCCCTGGCATTGGAGCTCATAACTGTGACTGAGAGTGAGGCTCAGACAGTACATTGTATCATATAGGACTAAGAGGTATTTGATCCCAGAATCATAGCGAAATTTGGAGAGGGTAGGCATCCAGAAGTCTGCATTTGATAGCTTTGGTTTCAATTGAAGAATTCCGAAACTTCTCTTTTCATTCGTATGCTGTTCAACTTTCGTCCAGTTTGTTTAACCCCACCATTCGAGCGCACTATTCGCGACAACTTTCCCCCGCATCATCTCTTATGCTTCTGAGATATGAACAACGACTGGTAGAAAAAAAATAACTTGATATAAACCAATTCAGTGTTTACTTAGTGCGAAATGCTTCTGGCTTCGTCAACGCCCCGAGGCGTCATGATATCGATACACGGCACCAACAGTCACTGGATTCTCAATTGTAACCTTTGCACCGGTATGTCATTTACGTCAACTACCAATGCACCCTATGGCATTCCATGCACCCGAGATTGTAGTAGAACCGGCCGGAAAGACACAAGAACCGCAGACTCCCTCTCCCGCAAAAATTTTGGATTCATCAAAGACAACCGCTTAGCGGGTAGCCTTGGCGATCTTGGGGGCAGCCCCCTTGGCACCCTGCTTGCTGACCTGTCCTCGTGCAGCACCACCCTTGGCGGCAGCGGCGCTCTTGGCCTTCTCAGCCTTCTTGGCGGCGGCGCTGGCGGCCTTCTTCTCCTTGCTCTCCTTGATGGCGGCGGCGCGAGCGGCGTTGCGGGCCTCGGGGCGCTGGGAGCGCTTCTCCTTGATCACATCGAGGGAAGCACCGACGATGCCACGCTGGGCCTTGACGGTGCGGCGGGTTCGCTTCTTGGCAACCTCCTGTATCTGGTGTCAGTCGTGTTCGCCATCACAGAGACGAGAGCTCTGCCATCTCCTCCCGAAGCATAGGAAGCCCCCGGGGTGTGGAGGTATTGACAAAGTCTCGGGTTGGGGCTTTATAGGGGCGCTTCAATCGTACCTCAGAGATACCCTTGCGGTGCTGGCGGCGGTACAGGACAGTCCAGGCGATGCGGCGGGGGTTCTTTCTTTGCAGGAAGAGAGACTCGGACTTGCCGTTCTGGAATCGGAAGACCTTGCTGTCGCCACGGACGTAGATTTTACCCTGAGACGATCACCAGTCAGCTTCTGCAATCAATACACCAGACGATTCCACGGGGCTCTGGTCAAGCGAGCCTGTCTGTCTCATGCTGGCCGAGGTTTTATATCCAAAGGCCTCCAAGTCAGGTCGCGCAGTTCGCCGGAAGGCAATGACCAAAGCCCGGGAAGATCGAGAGAATCGGGGGCGTACCTTGCCAGGGTAAATTCTGGCGCCGGAGAATGCGTCGTCGTAAGTTCGCATCTTGTCGCAGTTGTCGGGTTATCGGCGACAAAATGTATGTGGTGGATCGGAAATTTGGCGATGTCGAGAAGTTGCAGGTCGCGATACGCTCAATTTTCTGGAATTGGTGGTGTGTGGTACTGACTAAGCGGCTAGGGCAACGGGGCCGCTAAGTGCTTCATCATAGGCCCTTCACGTGATTGCGGCATCTGGACCCACCCCTTACCCTCACTCGGGAGCTGGTAACCTCCTATGACCGCATTGAGTAATTGCAAGATGATAAAAGTTCCCTCACAAGCACTTGCTAAGGCGGTAGTGCGTTTTCCCGGCGCAAATTGTAAATACAGAGCCAATAAATGGCTTCACGGGCAAATCGCATTGCGCTTGCGGTCCTCAATGAGTTCAACAAGCTCCCCGCAAAGCGCAAACCGCTGGTTCGAGATAATGGGATGCATGAATGGGTGCCTCTCAGTGGCATAGTTGCAGAAAGGGATGGGAACTTTCAATGTTTAGCCCTGGCGTAAGATTGACGTCTCATGTGCCCATATTTCCATCCTGGTTCTAAATTCTCAGTGTAGGACTGGTATGAAATGTCTTCCAGCCTCCAAGTTGCCTGATTCCCACGGCGTTGGTATACATGATTGGCATGCGGAAGTTTTAGCCATCAGGACCTTCAATCGCTTTCTCCTAGATGAATGTCATAACCTGACAAGTGGTGAAAGTCAGACGAAGTACATTTCTCCAGTACGTTGCAGTCCACTCTCGACAGGAGAAACCGTCAACCAGTTACCATTCTCCATTGGTTCCGATGTTAAGCTCCATATGTACTGCTCGGAAGCTCCTTGTAAGCAAACTCATTCTAGCATTAGAGATGTCACCGAAGATGCTCACTCTTGCAGGTGGCGACGCTAGTATGGAGCTCACAATGGCTGCGCAGGAGAGCGCGGCACCCTGGGATGTGCCCAACGCCGTAGAAAGCACAGGGTCCCATAATCCGGTCGGCTCTCTTCCTGGAAGAGAATACTTTTCACTGCTCGGTATTGTACGCAGGAAACCTGCCCGCGGAGATGCTCCTCCAACCCTCTCGAAATCCTGCTCTGATAAAATCTCTCTCAAACAATGCACCTCACTACTCTCGAGCACCACATCACTCTTCATAGATCCTCTGAACGCCTACATAGACACGATGGTTTTACCTCAGTCTCAGTTTTCTGAGAGTGGCTGCCGACGGGCATTCTCAAGCCATGGCCGGATGAAAGCTCTCGATGGGACACATTGGCCTGGAGGCTACTCCTTTAAACCGTTCAAGATCGAGACAACAGACCTCGAATTTGCATTCTCGAAGAAAACCGTCTCCGAGAAATCCAGCAAAGTATCGGCCAGCAACTTAGCTGCAGCCTGGTCGTTATCTGGAGTAGAGGAGACAATCATTGGGGGTGTCATCCAAGGCAGAAAGCCGTTTGATGCCCGTGGTGCCAGCCAGGTGTCTCGCAGGGAAATGTGGCTGAAGGCGAGGTCCCTGGCTTCCAACCTCGAAGCAGGGCATGCATCCATAAATCAAACGCTCCAGCTCCCCACCTACCGAGAGGTCAAAGAATCCTCCTTGCTAGCGGTAAGAAGAAAGGTGAAACAAGACGTTCAGAACAAAGCCTTGACAGGCTGGCACAAGAACGATGGCGACTCAGACTTCACCATCAACCAGATACAATAACGTTTGGGGAACAACATCAGAAATTGGTATTTTTTCCGGATGCAAGCCGTACCTAGTACAAACCCAAAAATAATCAAGCCAGCCCGAAGAGTGTCAACCCTTTTTTACTGTGACATTTTGCAGACCATGACCATTTGCTATGACTCCAAGTGCACCATTGGAAACCCTCAGGATTACTGCAAGGGCAATGATTTCGAATCCTCCATCACACCTGTGCGCACAGAACATGGCAAGGGGATTCGACTTGAGTCGGCAGAAGCTAATTCCCACCCTGCCCTCCTTTTGGAGTCAACGACATTTATTCGACCTTGCTCTCGAAGTTCTCGCCCTCTACCAGGTCGGGGATGTCGTCCTCATCATCACCCTTCTCGCCCTTCTGCATGTTCTGGTAGCTCTCGGCGAGCTTTCGGAGGGAAGCGAGAGAGTCGGGGCCGAGCTGGTTAAGAATGCCGGGAACAAGCTCCGTGAGCTCCTTGTCCTCGCCGTTTCCGTAGATGGCGAAGGTGTTGTGGGGGACAGCGGCATGAACTGAGAAAGCACGAGTTAGCAATCTTGACCACACCATCAATCCAGAAAAAAACCGCAGGGCTCCTGTCATTACCCTTGGGGGCAGCGAAGTGGATAACGTTGCCGTCGGACTTGAACATGTTAACCTCCTCGATAGCCTGGATGGGCTGGGTGCCCAGCTTCTTCAGGGCAGCCTGGAGCTTCTTGTCGTCGGCGCCGGAGCGGGCGGGCGCACGCTTGACCTTGCGGCGGGGGGTACCCTTTCCACTGTTCGACCATGTTAGACGTAGGGCTACACGCGGAATATAAGTTCGAGAGTCGCAATAGAAACATACCCTATGCGACAGGTCAGTAAACACTCAGGTTACAACAGATATTCGCCAATTTCCAGCATACCGATTCGGGCACCCTGGCCGAGCTTCTTGAGGCGCTCCTGAACGTCCGCCATGTTGGGCTGATGGGGGGGATGTGAGGGTTGCGGGGTGGGAGACAAAAACTAGACGGGAGATTATCAGCTCAGTGAGCAAAGTTGCGAGTCGCTTCGGGGACGATTTCGGCTCGTTGCGACATGAATCCTGCGTTTCGCAGCACAAAACTTACAGATACAATGGAGTTGCTTATAAAGCTGTTCCTTCTCCGTCGGTTGAAGCTGGCGATGGTGGTGGTTCAAAGTCGATTTTGTGCGTGCCAAGACTTCCGGCACTAGGAACATATGTTTTACCGAGAGGGTGCGGCGCCCGCTTAGAAACTCGCATGTGGGGGATTACATAATCTTCTATCTCCAATTGAAGATGGCATCGACGTAATTTGCTGTAGAACTTGGCGGGGCTTGTGAGCTCCCGTAGAAGGTACAGCAATTATCACTCGAAAATAAGCCACGGTTGCTATCTCACAACAGAACATTGATATAATTGCTCCATGGATTGATTAAATGCCCGTTGCGAATAGTGATGTCATTGTGTCTAATCGATGGTCACCAATTCCCAGCTCGTTGTCGCATACTCCCATGGGGAGGGCACTTCTTTCTTTCAACTGCAGAGATAAAAAAAATAGCAAGGGCAAATATGCGAATTGATTCTGAGCGGGATGCGCATTGTCTCATTATCATTTTAATGATTAAGTATAAACAAACATTGTGTTTGACCTTGACCAACCCTCTCGACCATACGGTCCAAATCGTACATCTTATAATACATGATACATAAGTGATTGGTTGAGTGAGACGAAACGTCTGGGAACTTGACCAATTATACCCTTCAAACGCACATCAATCATCTTGACAAACCAGTCTCTTTTCTCATTTCTTCCCTTCTCGCCTCAAGCTCCTGCTCCTTAGCCTTGGTACTGTCTCTGATATCTTTCCTCCTCTTCTCTTCCCGCTCTCTATCCTCTCTTTCCCTTGCCTCTTTTGCGACTACCCAGACTAATTTTCGGTTAGCATACTTTACTCGAAAGAATTGCAGTAGCACCAGTATCCATACTCGGTTTATCCGACTTGGAATATTCCTTCAACTTCGTCACAAAGTCGTCAAACTCTTGCTCCCGCTGTGCTCGGTTTTCTTCGCTTCTCCGGCGCAGATCCGGGTTATATCTCTTTCGAATTTCCTCCTCGGTCGGAGTTACATATGCCGTGAGCATTGGACCACCAACACCAAAGGTAACGCCACTGTTGGTTTACTTCGTTAGCTACTAGGAGGCATCCGTACCGAAATGGTATCTCCCACTTACGCAATGGCGACCTTGGTCCACATCCTCCAGTTAAACGGTTTCTTTGGCATCTTGTCACGCGCGGGGCTCGACTGGGGAGGATGATACGGCAGGGGAGGATGCGACTTGAATGACGTTGATGTCGCGATTCTCAAGGCGACGGCAAGCCGATTTGCTCTGGCATGCCGGCAGTATTTTTAGCGGGCGGTCAAAGCTTCCTGCCTTAAACAGCAGTGTGGCTTGCCCATTGCTGCGCCATACTGCATGTACGACGTCTTACTTTACCTAAGGCATGTGGGGAACAAGAGCTTCCCATTTATGGTAGACACGGCACATGCTGCCAGCTGCCAATCTACCTAGTGCGGCGTGCCGTCCTAACTTTAGACTTCTTAGTATTATGTGTGGCTACCTACTCCCCGTGTTGCTGCTGAGATTGAGGCGATGGCCAAGCCTCTCTGATCCTTGGCTTAACTTGCATTGCAGTTAGTGGTAGTATTAATAACACATCTTACCTCATGTCCATAGCGAGGGAGACAACAGACGTCTAAACCTTGCAGGGCGTCCTCCCAACTGCCAGACACGCGACGTTCCATGCGGCTATTCTGATCTAAGTCTATCAGCGCACCTTAACCTTATTCCCGGACGGTTCAGTCGGGCGGGAAACAGGCTGGAGAAGCACGGCAAAGGAGACGGAAGAGCCACCTATTGATCATTCCCATCATCCTCAGTGCCATCAGGTTGTCCTAAAATATTAATAAGATCTAATCGGGCTATAAACAGGCCCGGCAGTGTACGTCAGCTCCAGGCGCTAACGGGATAGAGGCTGTGGTGCTACAGATCATCAGGCACGAAGCAACGTGCCGTAGGGAAATATGCATTGACTGGCTGGGACTGGGCAGGGTTTCTCGCATTTTCGCAGCTTCACCGGCGGGGGCTGGAGACACTCGTCAGACACTCGCCAATCACACGGCCCAGCCCCCTGGGCCCTCTCGGAAGCTTCTCGAGTCTGAGTTCTCGCAGGGATAACGCCGGGGTCCCGCCTTAGACATTGTGGCCGTTGGCCTGTCACTTGGTGGGCATGAACTGGCCGTTTGAGCCCAACAGGCAAGTGTTAATTTACACTCTGGTCCTGGGACGGGCCATCCTGGATCGCGTGCCTAGACAGACAGATCCAGATTGTGTCCTGTCCTTTGTCTACCTTCCCCTTTTTGTTTTGCTTTGACTTCTAATTTCTTGTTCCGTGGTCGCTTGACAACGCGTCCCCTTCCAGCTGGACTGTCTGGGAACCCGTGCCGCTTGTCTCATGACTTTCCTGCTGCGTGCCCCAATTCGAGCTTTGAAACTTGAGAAGTGACCGCTGCTGCATCCTGTAAGTTTGCTTACCACCGTCATACTCCGTCCATGCCATGGAATGGCACAGCGCCCAGAGTGCACGGTGTGCTGGCCCTGCTCCCGACCGACTGTGACCCAATAATTACCTGCCCTCAGACCCATGCACCTCACCTAGATCTCTAATTAGAATCCTACCTTGCCTTGCCTTGCCTTGCGCTGCTGCATTATTACTACCGCCCTCGTCCCTCCCAACGATTGCGCTGCCTTTTCCTTACGAGAATTCTAGCGCCACTGCCCACGCTTCCCCTTCCCAGTTTTGGATCTAGACTGGTCGAAACACGGACAAGCTAATCATCGGCGTTTAGCCCTCCGCAGCCGCTTAGAAGATCACCCCAGGATCGCCACCATCTGTGACGGCCTGTCCCCTTCCCCGCTGTCCGCTGTCTTCGGACCTTCGCACACGACCAGCGCAGCAACGAGCCCAGATATGCGCCAGTAGCTCTCGAGCCGCGCTCCTGCGACATCGAAGAGAATCCTGCATCGCATACACTAGCTCCCTTCCGCCTGGACATGGGAGCCTCGGCACTGTCTTCTCGGTAGCATCTCCGGTATCTGACCCAATCTAGCGATTCAGCTCGCTTCTCGACTTTATTCTCTTCGATTTCTTCTCTGCCCATCGTACAAACGCCAGTCATGGCGTACGATGGGGGACACATGAATCAGCGACCATATAACGGTCAGGTTCACCGAGGAGGGGGCTACGGCGGCCTGCCACCACCCCAACAACAACATGCCCAACAATATGGGGGCTCGCAACGACAATACGATAACTCCTACGACGGATATGGCCAAGACGACTACTATAATCAGCATGATGGAGGCTATGCCGACGGGTATGGCCAGGGATATGATAATGATCAGTATCAAGGTCATGGGTACTCGCAACACTCTCAGCAGCACTATCCACAAGATGGCTATGGCCAGGCCGACGGGCGGCAACCCTCTCGCGGAGGATATGGCGGGATGGGATCCGGCCGCGGTGGAAGGGGCCCCGCACCAAGGCAGGGCGGCCATCCATCAGACGTCCCCCAGTCCTATTCAGACCCAAACCGTAGGTTTCCATACCGCTACACATCCTCGTGACCCAGTCTAACAATCTTGCAGTTGGTCGTCCAAACGAACAACGAACAGCCCCTCGAAATGGGAACTATAACGGCGACTATCAAGACCGTCAATTGGCCGACCAAATGTATGGTATGGATATCAACGATTCCAACGGGTACCAACAGAGAATACCTCCCGGACCAGGACCAGGATCAAGAGGCAGTAGCGGAAGCCAAAGGAGTCATGGAGAGTATGGGAGGCAAATACCTAGAGGCCAATCGGCTCAGGGGCATTCCAACGGCCGAGGATATGCTGAGCTAAATGGTTATGGGCACGACAACCGCCAGGATCAAGGACGACAGAACCATGAATTCGGGCCTCCTGGGCGCAGTATGACGACCCCCATTAACGGAAGCCATGCCATGAGCCAGCCACAACGCAAAAACACGAACCCCTATGATCATATGGCTGGCCAAGGCGTTCCAGCCCGACCATCGACAGCTGCTGGTAGCAGACCACAACGATCATTCACTGGGGGTTCTAGGGAACAGCATGATGCCTTCCCAGGTCGCTTCGACGATGGCCATGGCTACGGTCAACAGTCCAATGGACAAGGTCCAAACTTTAACCAAGGCCACGGTCAAGGATCCGGCCCATACTCCGGACATGATCGCACAAGCCTCCCTGATTTCGATGCAATTCCACAGAACGCTCGAGGATCATTTGACGACTTTATCCAATCGAGTCCGGAGCAACGTCAACCTGGTGCTCACCAAACAGCTCAATTGAGTCATGCCAAGTCCCAGCCTGATTTGCGCCAGCCTCAAGCTGCCGTTTTCGAGATGGCCCCTGATGCTCCTTCTGTGCCACCCATGCCCAGTATGAACAACTTCCCACAACGAAAGGACTCGAGTTACAGTGAGCCAAGGAATTACAACCATCCTCCTCGGGGGGCATCCCGAACTCCAGCTCCAGGTCAGGCAAACGCTCCCTCGTTGATGCGACCAGGAGGTCCCATGCCACCAGTTCCGCCGGCGGCCAGCACAAACCCGGACGCGCTTCCTTCACACCCAACTCCAGTACGCGCTGGACTGATGGAAAATTCCATGGTCAATATGAACAACAGGCCACCTCCTGTGCGCAACTACGGCGGCGTCCAACAACCGCAGCCACCGAAGCAAAACCACCATCCAGCGCCTCAGCGACAACAAGGCCCACCGGCTCCCAAGAGAGCTTCACTAACGAAACCACAAGATCCTCCTGTGACTCCGCAAGAGCTCGAACACCTTCGAATGGTCATCAAGAACAACTCCAATGATCAGGCATCAGCCTTGCGTCTAGCCAAAAGGCTCATTGAAGCCTCTGATGTTCTTGTTGCATCCATGCCCGATCCCAAGGCGAGGGGGAAAGCTCGAGAAAGGTACATTATGGACGCGCATAAAATCTTGAAGAAGCTGTGCAATGCCGGGAACACGGACGCTATGTTCGTAATGGCTGACTGCCTTGGGCGCGGACTCTTCGGTGGCGGCGATCACGACACTAAGGAAGCCTTTACTTTGTATCAGTCGGCGGCCAAGGTTGGTCATGCCGCCGCCGCCTATCGAACAGCGGTATGTTGCGAGATTGGCCACGAGGAAGGTGGCGGAACTCGGAAGGACCCCATGAAAGCGATCCAATGGTACAAGCGTGCTGCAGCTCTGGGCGACACGCCTGCAATGTACAAGATTGGTATGATTTTGCTGAAGGGGTTATTGGGCCAGCAACGAAACCCGCGCGAGGCTGTAGGATGGCTGAAGAGGGCGGCTGAGAGGGCCGATGCGGAGAACCCGCATGCTCTCCACGAGCTGGGCCTGCTCTTTGAATCGGCTCAACCCAACGACGCCATCATTCGGGATGAGCCGTATGCCCTCAGCCTCTTCCAGCAAGCTGCAGATCTGGGATACAAGTTCTCCCAATTCCGGCTTGGCTGTGCGTTCGAATATGGTCTCATGGGTTGCAGGATTGATCCTAGACTATCAATCATGTGGTACTCGAAGGCTGCGCAACAGGGCGAACACCAAGCCGAGCTGGCACTGAGCGGCTGGTATCTCACGGGCAGCGAGGGCGTTCTGGGACAAAGCGATACGGAGGCATACCTATGGGCCCGGAAAGCCGCCATAGCGGGACTGGCCAAGGCCGAGTATGCTATGGGCTATTTCACCGAGGTCGGCATCGGGATCGCCGCCAACCTGGAGGATGCCAAACGATGGTATTGGCGTGCTGCCGGTAAGTTGACACTGATTGAGGACCGCAATATTCCGAAATGAAAGCTAACGCCCCTCATACAGCCCAGGACTTTCCAAAGGCCCGTGAACGATTGGAAGAACTCAAAAGAGCTGGAAGAAACGCTCCCCGTCAACGGGAGCGCATTTCACGAACCAATCAACAGGAGGGCGAGTGTAGTGTGATGTAAAAACTAAGTGCGCGATGAGCTTGGTGAATGGAGCATTATTATACCCACGGACGACTGATTAATTGCAATGACGAGATGATACGAAGGAGATGGACCGGTCCAGCTGGAGATGAGGGTCAAAACATTCATGTACAATGTATCATAATTGGCATCTGGATAAGATGAGGATATGAGTGTCAAAACTAACATGTATGAAACGAATAGCTGAGGAGCGTAGTGGATGAGATGATGATTGGTTAGGATGAGACTTGATAGCATAGATAGCATACATCGAATAGTCACTGGTTGACTGACTAAATATTCATGAACCGGTTTTTATTTCACTACAGTGATTTCTAATATCAGGTCTCCCCTTAGTAGTTTACAAAGGCAGCCAAGAGGCATACCTATACAAGAAACGCCTATCCAATAAAAAAGAGGCGACAGTTTAGATATCTCACTTGCCGAACAACCCTCCAAAGGAAGAGCCAGAGCCACCTACTCCTCCAGCCCCTCCTCCGGACGAGTGCCTCGCAGCCTCCCGGATGATCCAGTCGGTCAGGAACTGGCGGTCGGCGAGGCTCCGCCCGTCAGTGACCCTCGTGGCGCGAATGGGCTCGCCGCGGCGGGCGTCAAAGGCCAGCAGCGTGGGGATGGAGGTGATCATGTAGGTCATGGCGAGGCTCTGGGCGTCCGGAGCGTCGAACTCGACGGGGACCAGGTTGACGCCGCCCTCGGCCTCGCCGGTGCCCTGCTCGATGAGGGAGCGGACGAGGGGGTACACGGCGCGGCAGGTCGAGCACCAGGAGGCGGTCCAGAAGGTGAGCAGCGGGGTGTTTGAGGAGGCGGACACGGAGAGGTAGGTGTCCAGACTGTTGGTGTTGCGGACTCTGTTGGTGGCGGGCAACGTTAGGGAATTGCGCTGAGGGACGAATTCAGGCAGCGATTTTTGCCATTCTCATACGATCAAGGGGAAGTACAGGATCACATACGGGTCGAATATTTGGTTCTTGGCGTTAGCAGTGGTTGTGGAAAAAGCAGCTGTGTGTAGTGCAGGTCGCTGTCTTGGTGATGATCTCACTATAGCCTTGACTGGCGCAAGGTATTGTGCAGAGACTCTAAACCACCGCATGCTGTGTCGCTTGGATTGAGCCGGTATACAAGAGATTAGGTGAAGTTTTGAAATTAACTGCTCAACGCAATGAATGTGGACCAGATAGGCGTGGTGAGTGAGATGAAAGAGAAAGCAATTCACTAAGTTGAAGGTTTACTTGGGATGTGGTCTGTGTACTGCGTCACTACATATCTGTACAAGCAGCCGCTCACTTATATAAGAGGCTACGACTCTTATCCAGGTCCTATTCGATGATCCCAGGTATTCACACCTATTCTACATAAATCAATTCTATATAGATCAATTGAACCTTGGAATTACTCCCTTACGATATGTGCAAAAAGAAGGCATATAGATCATGTTGGTGAGTGAGTACTTGTTCAGAGCGATGGGATGTCAACGGCCCAAAATTTTTGTCAATCCCACTAAGCCCACCCCACCATCGCCAACATCAGATATCTTGCAAGTACCCAGCTTGAAAATTGTGCGAACCAACTGATATTCACATTATCCTCCAACATTCTTCCCTTGGGTTGCATACTTATTGTAGGGATTTCCAGACAAGTCAATCCTGTCGCAATCATACGCCACTTTATGCGCCATGGCGACTCGGATTCCCCCACTCTTGGAGCCTTACCTTGCGCTCCCCGATGAGGCCTCACTTATCCTACTTACAAACGTTCTGGGGGCCACCTCAAACTGGCTGGTCCTACGCTACTTGTACTCAATTTTGAAAAACCAAGATGATGGCGAGAACGCTGGCGTTGTGCTGGTCAGCTTCATGAGAGACAGCACATTCTGGCGCGAGGGAGCGGGGAGGATGGTGAGTCTTGCAGCTTTCAAGTCGCCAAAGGACATGTTCTGACAATCAATCAAGGGGCTCGATGTTGACCACATGAATGCGAATGGGAGATTTGTGTTTGTGGACGGCCTGTCTGGGCAGATCAGTGGCACAAACACAACGGGCAAGAAGGAGAGAGTGCTGCGAAGCACCAGAGTGAATGATGTGGAAAGGGACATTGGGCAATCTCTGGGCGAACTACGCACGCAAAAGAGAGTTTTGATCGTCGACCAGATTGATGCTCTACTTGCCATCTCCGACGATGATGCGACAAGCTCGAAGCTGTCAAGCATGATTCTATCTCTCCGCGAGGTAAGTGCTCTCTCTCACTAAGTTTGCAGACGATTCAACAGTGACGCTAAAACATGGCATCGCCAGCGCGCACACTCTACGATTCTTACTCTAAGCGCCGACTCGCCGTTAGTTCATTCACAAACAACAATGCTGGAGCGCGAGCATGCCGCACTTGCGCTGGGGCAGGCACATGGAGCTGACAGGGTCCTGTCGCTACGGATGCTGGACACCGGGACGGCCAAGGACGTCAGCGGGGTGATGAGAATCACCAGTAACATTGAGGGCGAGGAAGGAGGGAGGGAGTATCTTTATTTTGTAGCCAGTGATGGAAGTGTCAAGGTGTTTGAGAGGGGTACCTAGACAGAATGTGAAGCAGACTGCGATTTCAGAAATGATCATTCTTCTCATAAATCCAATTAACCCCCTCACTTGTTGATTTGCTCGGCAAGATATCAAGGAGATCCCGAATCCTGCCCCTGCGTTCTTTCAATCACCGCCAAAGTCTACGAGCCCAACGTGGAGAGTCGGTTCGCTGTCTGCTTCTCGTATGACAGGTGGAGGACACGAGGTATTGTAGAATCAAGATGCCATTGCCGAAATCTGTATAAAGAGCCAGTTCGCCTATGGAATCCCGAAGCCGGGCGCAAGAAAGCAGAGGGGGGGTTCCGTCAATGTTTCCTTGTGCCCAGAAACAGAAGCGTTTCAATCAAAACACCGTATCCCATGCTCCAAGCCGTGATTTCAACCCTTCCACCGCCACACAAAAAAAGGTTCTTTTTTTCTTTTCTCAGATCATCTCCCCCCCTCGGTGGTTACTCCACGCTCTTCCACATACACCCTTTGATTTAAAGAGAGGGTTTTAATTTATGCCTCGGTGGAGACCTTGTTGACGCCGCGGGCGTTCTTGGGCTCGCCGTTCTGGAAGCCGTTCTTGAATTTTCGGGGCACTTCCTTGAGGTGGCGCATGCGACCAGTGCCGGTGGTCTTTCTTCTCTTGCCCTTCTCGCTCCAGTTGACTGTTGAGGCTCGGTCAGTACGCTTGGCCGTCTTCACTGAGGATGAAATTCTTCATGCTGTAGCAAACATACACTTGCGAGTCTTAGCAGCGGGGTATCCGCAAGAGGCACATGTGTGCTTCTGGACGTGCAGAGAGCGGCGACCTGGTGAGAAGAACCGGATCAGTATACGAAGTTCCCCATATTCCTAATAGTTGCCACCGTTTCCCTGAAACTCCAAGTCGGTCGGGTCGAGGATTCGTTTCCAATCGTGCTTGTCGTCCGTGGGAAACTGGCAGGTGAGGGGAGCAAACTAACCGCATCGTCGGCACAGAGTGTGCGTCTTGTTGTGACGCTTACCGAAGCTGGAGGTACCCTTGGCTATACAGAGACGCAGAGGTCAGCAAATTGGATTCTTTTCGATCAATTCGATCACTGATTTCGGGCCGGCATTTTCATCTGCATCGGCTCTTCAATCGAGACGGGTGTTCGGGGTCGCAAACGTACTCATCTTGGCGGTGTTGGTTGGGCGTGTGGTTGGATGACTATTAGGAAATTCTCACGATGCCTGGCTTTTTTGGTGGACTGGTTCGGAAATGGCAAGCCCTAATTTCACATCTTGGTGGGTGGACGCACGACTGCATTGGTCTTCACGTGACCTGACCCTCTTGTCCAGAGGCAGCACGTGATAGTCTGGAGCAACCTCCCATCAAAGGGCCCCGCTATTTCTCAGTGGCCCTTGTCGCAAGCAGGTCTAGAATTGGTCCCGATTGACACCTACATATGCAGCCGTAGAGAAAACAAACAGTCGTCGCTCGAAATATTTAAGAAAGTTATTTCAGGAAAATCTCCGTCTAGTCACAGCTATAGTGATAGACTTACTTCATTGCAACGACCAAAGGTTAAGATCGTAATGTGATGAATTAACTAAACTACTCGTCAAGGCAGTTCAAAATAAAAGCATACAACTTGAGAGGAAAATTCTGTTAATGTGAAAAAAAGCCTTAATTTACAAGTCTAGTTTCATAAAATGACGGGTTTCGGGTGGCATTACAAGGCTCCCCAAAATATCTATGAGAATATATAGCATTCCTTCTCTCAGAACTCGAAATGTCCGATTCTTATACGCATCTTTGAAATCAAATTATAAACACCGTACTTAGTCCCTCCTATAGTCCAACCATAAACTCCTATCGTTATTGAATAGAAAATGCATATGCATTTCAAGGCTTTAACCCAATCAAAAATCCAAGATCTCAATGTTCCAACTCCACAATTTCATTCTGTGTACAGTTTTCATGGCCATTCAGTAGGTCCAAACTTTTGCCCCTGAAGGTCCGGCATCGTGTGCGCCATATGGTTGTAGTCCAAGGTGTCCAGGGCACCAGTATTACCCCACCACTGGATATGTTTGACTTCAGTCAAATACAGGGTGAAGAATATCACCAGAGTTGACATGATCAAACCACAATCCAGAGCAGCTGAGGTGATGTAATTATACTGAAGCCACCAGCCAGTATACCGTCGTCGAATATAGTAGTTGAAGAGCATGCCCATTGATCCCCAGCAGAGATAGATGTACACTGTTGCGGGAGGGAGCAGCCCAGGACCACCAAAGATAACCGGGGTATTGACATAGCGCCAGATAGACTTGGGCCATCGGCGAGCGAGTAACCAGGTAATGATTGGTGCAACCGCCCCAACAAGCCAGAACCATTGCAAAGAAGAGTAGAGGGCGGAGCCGCTGAATATACGAGCCGGCCCAATAGCTCCCCAGATAATAGAGGCTGTAAAGAAGACGCGACTTCCTGGGCAAGTGTAGTTATTGGCTTGGTTAGGATCACACACGTCGGGAATCTTAGCCAAAGCCCAATTCATTACAGCAATCTGAATAATGGCTGACCAGATCGAGGCAACAAGCTGTGAGGCAAACATGACTCGAGGGGGGACTTTCATGTAATGGCCAAGCTTCAAGTCTTGAGCGAAATACAACGCTTGAGACATGCAGAGATATCCGTAGTTCTTAAACATCATCATGGCGAGTGGGCGGCCAGGTAGCATGTATCCGATGATGAACTCGGTCAACACATTAAGGCCAAGTTGAACATTGGTCATGGCCTGTATCAGACCAATCGGAATCAGCCAGATAATGGGCAGAAGCATGCAGACGATATAAGCCCACCAAGGGAAGCCAGTGGGCCAGCCAGCAACGACACCAACGGAGACAGCCATCATGCAGATGAAGAGAGCTGATTTACTAGTTAGCACTTACAACACGGTTTAGATCACAAGCTGACGAGCACATACCTGCATACCACCAATCTTCGGCATCTCGATACTTCTTCATAAGGCGCATATGGACATCATCCTCTTGGTGGCGTGCCATCTTAAATTGGTTCCAGAGATCTCTGCCGTGGTAGAGAGCAACATGGATCACAACCGCTGCGACAGCCGCAAAGGAGAGCCCATAGGCAAGGGCAAATTGGGTTGACAGGAATAATGGTGAGTACTCTTTGTAGGCTGTCTCGTTGAACTGGTTGGATGAGTCCAAAATGCGCTTCACATCGTAAACTGCGCCAGTGTTGTCGTAGGACTCAGAAGACTGGACGGGAAAGTAATCCGCGTACCATGTGCCACTGAAGTGAATCCCCATTGAAATGAAGACAAAAAACACGATCGTGCCGCCCAAAGTATTGGCAATTGCATGGAAAGGGGGAATCAAAGGCGATCCAACAAATCCGCTGTAGACAGTCCAATCAAACGAAATAGGCATCAGTCCATATCCGGACCATCCACCAAAGAGTTTGTTCACGGTAACATTCTTGGGTGCGATCCAACAAACCCAGGTGAAGAAGGATAGGCCCTTGAAGATCCAGCCAGGGAACCAGTAGTAGACGAAAGCAGCTGAGCCAATGATGACAAAAAGCTTGTACCGGCCAATCTTCCAGCCATTAGTCTTGCTGGGATCAGAGTGAGAGTGATCATGGAGAGTATAGAAGAGGGCACAATTGACCAAGTCGGCAGGCCATATCATGGAAGCGGGCCAGACCAGAAATCTCCGGGCCAGACCGGCCAGTCCATAGCCTGTGCAAATTGATGTGATTCCAAATAGAAGCTGAAAAGCCCAGCCGAAATTCTCGTGATAAAAGAGCTGCTGTGCAAGCAAAACATCGGTGGCATACAACGATCCACCACCATAGGCAGCCTAAACGGTCAGCAGAATGTTCGAAGGTAAAGGAACAGACAAATTTCTGAGTGAGAAAGAAAGTAGCTTACATTGGACATGGCAACAATAATAACATGCTCCTTGAAGTTAAACTTTCCTGGCCGAAGATTGAACTTGAGACCAAAAAGGTTCCACTCCCTGTCAGGCATGATCAAGTCCCAGCCTCTACCGATCGGATAAGCAATGAGTTGGATCACGTAGGTGGTAATAGCAACACTCGGATTGCGAAGCGAGAAGAGCATGTTAACCCCAGATCCAATGGCGCAGAGGACCATGCCAATAACCCAAGCGCGAACAGTGTTCGCAGGAAGATCGACGTCGTAATTTCGAACAACAGCACGAACCTATCACACATCGTTAGCCACTTCCATCTACCTCACACTGTTGCAAATGCTTCAACTCTTCCGATTACCAAGGTTCGCCATTGGCACCCGGCAGAAGCAGAATTGTCACATACCTCAGGGTATGGGCTGTTGTCCTCCATGAGCGCGTGCTCAATATCGAAACCCTTCTCATCATTTCCTGTTGCGATTGCGGCCTCAATTTCATTAAGGTCATCGATGGGCATATTCGGGTCGAGTTTGTGGATTTTGTCGAAATCGTTGAGACCCTTTAGTTTTTCGATTGAGGAAGACTCGCCATCAGGCGGGCCAGGGATAGGCGTTATTTCCTCGGCCTCGCGGCGCTTGCGAAATAAAGACGCCATGGTGGGCATTCTTGATGACGGCTGAGATGGCACTGTATGGTCGTCTCGTGTGGCAGGTTGTCGCGAGGTCGTCGCAGTCGTCTTTCAGTCAGCCGAGTGGGAGTCGACACCCACGAGAATCAGAGGCGACCCTCTTCAGGCCAGGTCGTCGGTGGCGGGGGTCTTGAGGAACCAGTATCGTCTCCAGCAGGTGTGTTGAATGAGTAGACGTCGACATGAACGAGACTGGGGGATGGAGAGAGGACTGGTTGGCCTTCCTGTCCCCGCAGACCTCCCACAGGCTGCGGCTGGCGAAGCTGAACACACTCGAATGCCGAAAGTACCGCTACCAATCACACCACAGAGTGAAACGGAAGGTACTTGCCAGGGGGGCACCACACAACTGGGTTGGTTGTGCTGGGAACCACCTTCCGATCTTAGCAGGTGTCGAACCCGGCACCAGATTGGTTAGACCGGTTACGCCTTGTTTGAAGGGTCGAGGCACTTTTGAAGCCCGCTGACTGTCCCGGCCGTCTGCTTTAAACCCAATTTTTCATCGGTAGCGATAATCATTCGCCCCTCCACTCTCTCGAGGAATTCTGTGGTCTGGCTGGAATCTCAGTTTCTTCTCTTGTTCTCTAGCCTGCTGCCCTGGTATTTGGCTTCGAACGCCCCTGGTCGGTCTAGGGTCCTAAGCACCCCCTGGATTAAGGATAACAGGCATCACAGCCAATAAGCACGCTATCAAGCCTTTATCTATCATGCGCCCCAGTTGCCCGACTCGTGATGGCGTGCTAAGCAACCCAGAAAACGGGATGTACCTGTACCTCAATTCTCTTGGGTATACTTGCAGCACACAACAGGCGCAAGACGCCACAAGCCAAACGTCTAACCTATTGCTGCACGCTAGTGACATAGTATCAACGCTTCCTTATCAACCACTACCCGGCAAGCGAGTGACAATAAAACATAGCACACCCAGAACCTCAAGCGTTGAATTCCAACACAATATCAAAACAATTAACAATAGCATATACAATATCAAGCTGAGTACTTTAGAATAAAGATTCTCAATTTCCTCTTTTCAACGGCATTTAGTATTATTGGTACAAAAGAGGTCCTTAACTTGCGTGAACAGAGCTCTGGTGCGCCATGTTTTATATCACTCGGTTGCTAGACACAAATACATACGTACTCCCTACTGGGCAAAGCAATATGAATGACTCGTTCAAGGCGCCCAATTATATATCCAATTCGAAGGCTGTAACCATTATTTTGCTCCTATTAGGGGTATCTCGGTACATTTGGGAGTGTTGGAAGGCACTCTCTTTCTGGACGTTCTATCCACACAGACAACATTTGCACCTTGCGGAACTTCCAAATCCCAATCAATGCCAAGGAAACATCCGGCTATTTGATAACCAATTCATTTCGTCCTGCTCTCTTGTTGAATAGGGCGATCTTCGGAAAGCGGAAGAGCTCATGCCCAGCTCTGTCCCGCGTGCACTCCAGCTCAGTTTCTCAGGTCAAGTACAGTCCTTCAACACTTTCGACTGATTCATCCCAAACCGTTCGCAGCCCCTGGGTTATATGCTGCCATTCGGATGTACTAATGATCCCGAGGGCATAGTCTCTCACGGTTGGATTGGGCAGAAGATCGAGTCTCTGAAGGTCGATAAGGTGGGCCAAGAACGCCGCCGCATGAGCATCCAGCAGTGTTGGTTTGTCGCCAAAAAGATAGAATGCTGCCGGAGGTCTGTTCTTTATTATGTCTCCGATACTGTCCACAAATCGGAGCACTTTCTCTTCTATCAATGTGATGTTGTCTGGGTCCAACAAGTCACTATACAAATTATCGTGGCTAAGATTTGTAACCAGTTAGCCGTTGTCGTGCTTTGTTTCTTTCTTTCACTACGTCTCTTTAGACTCACAAGATACTCTTTATTTCCAGGCAACGTCGATGTGAAGCAGTTAATTTGTTTTGCTCCAGCATCGCAGCAGCTTGGTTGGGGATACCATCCTTGCAGATATCCGGCGATAGCGCCAGCGCTTGGGCATGGATCTCGTGCAAGTCGTTCATGATCTTTGTGATGATCACATTGTGCTCCTCGGGGATCAAGTCCGTTTGCTGCAGTGACAGCCACTTGGCTATCTCATAACTCTCCGTAAGAGGTTCGGATAATGCTGGTGAAGCCAAGACGGGAACCTAGACCAAAAATAAGCGGGATAGACCTTGTGATGACGGGCAAGGAAACTAACCTGTCCTCTGGGGTTGAGTATTAAGAAATCTTCTGAAAGATTCTCCTGCAGGTGCAAGTTTACCAGCTTCAACTTGATTCGGGGAGCATTTTCCGGGCTGAGCTTCTCTCCAAAAGCGAAAGCCAAACGCACCATGAGTGAGTAGAGAGAGAAGGGGAAATGATATAGCGTGTATACTGGGCTGTCAGCCATTATTATTAAGAATTACGGCCGGTATCTGGCTATGGGATAGAAGAACCCGTCCTAGATATCGCAAAGGTATCCGACACGGACATGAGAAAATGCTCTAGCGAACATACTCCCTTTTAAACAAAACGCAAATGAGCTGTGCTGATGATGTCGTTGCAGGCCTGGAGCCTCAAGGCACGCGGGAAGGCCATGAGTGGATCTGGTCTACATGACGATGAACTATCCCCAGTTCCAGGAATGCGGGAAACTATCCTCAGGGCTGCCTCTGCCTCTTGCAAAACTACATCATTGGTAGTCCAGAGCAGTTTACGGCGGAAAGAATATCGTGACTGCGCCTCATTGCACCTGATGATCCCAGCCCTATCATCCTGGCAATTGAGGCGAGTGCTTGGGGTCGTGGCGCGTGCAAGCCAGTTCGCCGGGCCTGAGAAACATCTGTGGCTCGACTAAGTCCCATCTTTCGGTGACGCCGATCTCCGCTCGAGATCTCAAAAGCGACCCTATTCACTACATTTCCCTGTTCTCCCCCAGACCCAAGACACTTTGACCCCAATTCTTGCCTGGGTCTTTACAGGTTCCCAAATTCGGCAAACAACCAATTAGCCACAGGCCCACTCGGGAAGGCAGGAAAATGTAACACTCTTTGAGAACGATGAGAGAAAATGCATCTTCTCGTCGACCCAATTGTAGCCAAAGTGTGGCTAGTGTTGCTCAGGCATGCGCCTTTTCAGGAACCTGTGCCTCCGAATGTCCAAAAATCGTAACGGCCCTTCGGGAGTATGGTATCATCAAAGCACAAAGAAGTTTGTGCGTCTCCTTTCGCCACCAAGTAAGCAGGATACGCCGAGCAAATGCGTGCAATTTTAATAAGTCCCCGAATTCCGCATTTCCACATTTCCCATCCATCTTCCCTCACTTTTTTGCCACACCTCGGCCAGAAGGCAACTCTTCTCCCTTATTATCCTAGCACTTGTGTTGTGAGCTGCCAATTGAACGTTTTGATCGGCCGTCGAACGACATTTCCCTTCCCTCAGCTCTTCGTTCGCTAGTTAGCCTCTTTGCCTCGTGTCCTCGGACGTGGTATAAGAATATGACCATTGTCTTCCCCTTGCCTCTCGATGCCTTCATACGTCTTCTTCTTTCCCAAATAACAGGCCAATCCTCCCAAACAATGAACAGGAATGTACACTCTTCATGTGGTTGCCAGTGAATTGCCGGATTTTGTAGCCCAGTCCACAACCACCAATCAGGGCCCATCAACCATCATCAAATAAAAGAAGATCACACAATGTCTCACAACGGTCGGGGGATTGCCGTGCCATCAGTGGATGATACCGGACTCGTCCAGCCGGATAAATGGTCCACCATTATCCATTGCTATTACAAAGCGATGCTTACAAGGCTACAGAAAGCCTTGGGCCATTAGTGCATACATGCTCATTCAAAGAGGCACTTGCTTGACCGTGCTTAGCAACGTCTCACAATCTCGATCACAGGAACATGGGAATTTGCCGATTGTTCAGACGGCGCCACGAGCCCCTAAGCCCTCCTCGACTTAGGGCCGGAACGGCGGGTGGGTGAGGTCGGGTAGTATGGACAAGCTTCGCACACATCTGAGGCGTCCCTCTTGAGATTGCCGCAATCCCAATTTTTTTCTAATACCAACGCGGTCCATTTCCTCCGCTGGTTGGCCGTTATCCATCTCATCTCCATAGGTTAGCTTGGTTAGGTATCGAGTGCGGGACCATTGCGCAGCTGCTGGCGTATCCCCCACGCCTATTGGCGGCCTACGCTAACTCTTGGCAGGGGAATGTCGATTCTTAATTACAGGGGTCATCGTGATCGATTAGTACCTGGATCGGAGCATTGAGGCACAAACAGTTGGTTGTTCTAGTGGTGGATCAGCAGCCACCGCGCCAACGTCCGTCCTCTGAGTGACGCCAAGGTCAAGGAACAGCCCTGTCCTGATCTGCTCCCACATGATTTGATGGTGGTGAACATCGTAAGAGAACCTGGCAGGGAGAGGATAGAGGGACCAGCCCGCAGCTTCACAGGGCATTGAAAGCTTACCAAGGACCCCTTTTTCTGTGTGTCTTTGAGTAATTGAAACAAATCTCCCTCTTCCGCCTCTTCCGAAAAGATGGGAATGGCACCCATGTAGCCAACAATCGAGACCTTTTTCGAGGAATGCATTAGTGTTACCAACCAAAGAACCTTAAAATAAACCAAATACAAAATGCTGTCCAACCGCGGGTTCCGAAGCACCAGAAGACTCCGTCTGACAACAGGAGCAAATTTCCGGTGGTGTTGCTGCAGAGAGCTAGGCTCGGTCGGGCAACACTGGCGGCCGAGCGCGCGCTGTGCCAGTAGCGCTTGTCGTTGCTCCCGGCTCCCGAAGAAGATATCGATAGTTTGCCGCCGTCGAGAGCCCAATGATCTGATTTAGAAATAACAATGAGGAAAAGCGATGCCATTCTCTACGTCTGCCAAGAAAACTAATCCAATCCGCCTTTTACAGCCCTGTATGCCCGCCCGCCTTTTTCCTGCCATATTCTGTGGATACGAGCATAGCG